GTAAAGCCGCCCCTACACCTCCAAAAACAGCCCCCTCCTCCCGGCTCCCCGTGCTTAGGGTTGCCAGATCGTTTCAACAAAAATACCAGACACGCTTGACATTACATCACAATCTACATTACATGCAGTGTTGCCAGGTGCCCGGTATTGATCCGGACACTCCGGTATTTTCACCTCCTGTCTGGCAAAAAAAATTCAGAAAATACCAGACACCTAAAATGTCCAGTATTTTTTGATTTCTTCCCCAGCCAAGAGGTGAAAATCCCGGGTGCTTACTTGGTTCTGCAGGGGAGCTGTCTGGACTGGAGCAGGAAAACAAAAGATGGCAGATGTCCACCGGCAGCCTGTTAGATGTCCACCGGCAGCCTGTTAGAAATGCCTCAAAAGCATTTCTTAAAGGGGCCATGCTGTTTAAAAAATATATATTTTTTTTGCTTAATAACTCTCTTGGTTTTTTGGCTCAACAACTTTGGTCTCTCCCTTTTTTTTTGGAGGGGGGAGTGTTCGGTATTTTTGGTTAAACCATCTGGCAACCCTAATTACATCTTATTTAGAAAATACCGGACATTTATATTTTCCCAATTTGTTTCCCAAACAGAAAGCTCAAATACTGGACGGTCCGGTACAAAACCAGACACCTGGCAACCCTACCTGTGCAGGGGAGCCATCTGGCGCAGCCATTTAAGATGGAGAATTAAAGATGGTGTCAGCCAGCGGGAGCCTGATATGGCCAAAAAACCTCTAAATGCGTTTTTTTAAAGGGGCAGCGCTTTTTTTTGGGGGGGGGGGGCTCAATAACTTTGCCTTCGTGCTGGCTCCACTGATATCTTCGCTCTTCGCCCAGAATGGGTTCACTCTTATATAGACCACTCCATGTTGACATCCCTAGTTCAACACCAAAATTTCATCACTAGTTAGTTTTAAAGCAGGATTGGCTAAGACACCAGGAGGGGACAAACTAATTTCCTGATGTCAGATTATATGCTTCAATCAGAAGAGAGCTCAAGATCCTCTTCGCTTTCAGACGTTTGCTATCACATGTAAGCACTCTGTTACTGACAAATTTTAGTACAAGCTCTCAGTGTAACTTTGTAGAACATTCAATATTAAAATCTCTTTGTTTGGGTATATGCTCAATTTAGGCGTTGATAGCTGTAGCTGTGACCAGTCTGGTTGAATTAACATTGATGTGCTTGCCTTGAGGTGTGCTATGTTGAAATACAGTGGAACCTGCCAACTGACTATAATGAACCAGGTTCAGCTAAACTAGTCCCTGATGTGCTACATTTTCACACTTTCATAACAGAGCATTAAAAACAGGAGCTTGAGGCATTTCTTAAAACTTAATCCTCACCCACATTCTTGTTTTGCAAACAGGGAAATCAAGGCACAAAGAGGGTAAGTGGTTTGCCCAGGTGTTGCAGCAAATCATTGACGAAGCTGGGAATAAAACCCCAAAGTCCTACCACCTCCTTGAGTTTATTTTGGCCACCTGACATAAGAACGGTCATACTGGGTCAGACCCAAGATCCATCTAGCCCAGTATCTTGTCTGCCAACAGTGGCCAATGTCAGGTGCCTGCAGAGTGAATGAATAGAACAGGTAATAATCAAGTGATCTGATCCCTGTTGCCCATTCCCAGCTTCTGACAAACAGAGGCTAAGGACAGCATTCCTACCCGTCCTAGCTAATAGCCATTGATGGGAAACTCCTCCATGAATTTGTCTAGCTCCTTTCTGAACTCTGTTAAAGTCCTGGCCTTCACAACATCCCCTGGCAAGGAATCCCACAGGTTGACTGAATTGTGTGAATATCTGTGTTGTGAAATTATTCCAGTTGCATTATGTATTTTCTGGAATAGGTTAAGAAAAGTTTCCTGGAGCTGTGCATCTTTAAATGACTTGGGTTTTATTCCAGCTCTGCCATGGCCTCATTGTGGGACCGCAGGCAATTCATATAGCCTCTTTAGGAATCAGTTCCCCCTTTCTGTAAGGTGGGGTGCTACCTTCTTTTGTGAAGTGCTAGGAGATGTATGGATGAACAGAGCTATATAAATTCTGCATATTTATTGCTATTTTAAAAATATGACTAATTGCCATGCAAATAGACATAGCTGGTGTGGTATCTTCTGGGCCTTTATCCTGTATCATACTGCTTGAACTTTTTACCACTGAGTCTGAGTCAATCCTTGATTGGTTATCACATAGCCCAATGCCACAAAAAACAAAGGACGGCAAAGCTCCTTTCCAGTATCACTCCCTTCCTCCTCCCCTAGCACTCTCAACAGAAGCTACCTCTCTGAAATACCATATTAGTTCATGCTCAGAACTCTTTCAAGCCATTTGACATTCTGTGTGTGCTCTTTTCACAGCTACACCTAGGAAGCACACGATAGGCAGCAAAAACAAATAGAAAGGACTTTTCAGTTCTAATCAATTGAATTAAAAGTCTTATAAACACATCCCCCCCTCCCCACCGCCTTTCTCCTTTGGTCTCTTGTTTTATGCTTTCTAAATTCCCCCATCCCCACTGCCAGCAGTTTCCTTTCTACTGATTACATTCTGTGTTAGGATTGAATGGCAAACTCCCAGGGTGAGAAAGGTGGGGTTAATAAGATAATTAAAGGTACAGATGCAGCCCAATGAACGTGTGGAGAATACAGGTTTAAGACATGGACTAGCACCAACGAAGCAGAAGCCAAATCTACCATTCCTGAAATTACAGATTCATGTCCAACTAGCCTCTCTGAGAAACATGCTCAAACTGTTAACATAATCCCCCTTCAAAAGAGATGATTAGCTCATGCATCACTAAGAGCTGAAACAAAGAGACAGACGAGGGATGGTGATAATTAAGGAACAGGTGTCCTCTGAAAATTAGAGAACACCAGAACGAACTGGTGAAACAGCACTTCAGCCCAATGCAAGGACAGACAAAGGGTCCCTAGGTAGCAAAGAGGCAGGGGTGGAAGTCTGTATCTGTCTCTGAGCACAACTGTAGCTTTGTTGCTTAAGTAGAGGATGCAGGGCCTAACTGAGGTGTCCATCTCTAGACACACTTGTAAGATGAAACTGGAGAAGAGGCAGGGAACTGAATTTTGTAATCGTTGTAGATAAGAAGATAAAAAGTCCATTGGGGTTTCCCCTCTGACTTCTGCGTGATTATAAATTTGTCAGTTTCCAAACAATCTCGATCTATTAAACTCACCAGTAAACTTCAGAGAACAGCTTCAAACTCTGCAGGGCTCTACTCCTCAGCTTATTAGGAGTGAGATGAACACAAGTCATTGTGCCTGAAGGTATGGATTTCCCCTCACCTCTTTTATAACAAACTATGTTATTAATTAAAAAAATCCTGGTTTGAAGGCATTAGATGCAAGACGAGTTCAAGAGCAGTATAAATATTACCTTCTCTTCCCCATCCAACTCCCATCAATGAACCACACTGGACTTCCAAGGATCAATAAGAACAATAAAACGGCTTTACCTGAGATGAATTAGGTTGCACAGATTTGAGAGCAGACCCTGTTTAT